GCCAGGGTTGCGACATCGTGTGCCCTAGCCGCCATTTCCGGCGTCGCGAAAGTCCCGAGCCAGATCCTACTCTTCTTCTTCGGCTCGCGCATTTCGCAAACCCATTTGCTCCCATTTCTTCGTCTAACACCTCGATAGACCGGGTGCCTCGTCTCCTTGAACTTTCTTCTTCCTGCCTTTCTTTTGTGTGACAACAATAAACGTTGTTCTTGTTCATCATTTTTGTTAGGATTTGCAGCCCTAATGAGGCTGCCGTTATCGGATGAAGAAGACGGTGATGATGAACTTGATGAGTATTCATCATTTTCATAATCCATTTTGTTTTTTTTTTTTTTTTGTTGTTTTGTTAATTTTTGACAAGGGTTTTTCGTGAAGAATATATATACATATATATATATATATCTATATCTATATATATATATATATATATATAGATACGAAAGGTATGGCGCTTGAAAGATACTCCACCCAATGGAGATGGAGTGAACATTGTGACTGGAATTATGTAAGTGATGAAAAAAAACGTGTGGATATTAATAAAAAAATAATTATATTTGTTCTTTTTCCATTTGATATGTGCACGTGAGGAAATCGTATGACGGAGGGATCATGCTGCACGTGATTTATATAACCCAAAAGTGTAAAAAAGGAGGACACGCGTCTCGTGTGGAATCAATGCTGGAATTGTTTTTTCTGCGCATTTCTCCATGAAAATGACTCCATGAAAGAAGATAAATTTGGCTAAACCATGTGTCGGAAATACGTAAACAGAATATAATTTTGTTTTACTTATTCCATTGGTACTACCTAATTACTAAGAGGAAGTGTTTTTTTTTTTCTTTTTTCAACTTGATTTCGTTACTTAGGATTTTTATAATCAAATTAAAAAGGATAAACGTTAAATTAATTTCCCCTGGATATATATGGTTGATCGCACCGTGAAAAAGTCAGTAAAATTCATTCATTAATTATGAGACTCTCACATTAAAAAAAATATTACTTCTCATGTCCAAAAAAAAAAAAAATTTACAGTGACTAATTAAGATGTGCACTTAAAACTTAATATAAACTATTTTTTAGAGATAAATGGAGTATTTTTTTCATTTCATTTTAATAATTCACTTAATAGTGGACGGAGGAAAAGCGTGTTGTATTTTTTATGTGGTAATATAATTTTATTTTTTATTTTTAATTTTATTTTTGGAAAAATGAAACATGGTGCTATAAATTATTCTAGCCACAAAAGTTTTGATACAGGTTAGTTAATGCAATTTCCCTACAATAGAAGGAAACGAATATGCAATAAAGATCAATCTGGAAAAGCATAAAATATAATTTATTATTCCTAACAAACACTTTGACTTTACTAATTATAAACTCAGAAGATAAAAATATGTTCACTTCAACATAACATTGATTGGTATACCGACTCCGTCATCAAGATGAACTTGAAGAAGTATGAATAATAATCAAAGAAAGCGGGGAGGGGGGCAGGGGAACTTGATTGCGATGATGGTGGGTACATACATTGGCCTTCCGTCCAATTTTCATAATTATTATGTTTTCTTATCTTGGAGAACATTGTTCGAATTTATAAATTGACTTAACATATTGGTTTTTTAAAAAAATGCAAAATTTTATATAAACTTGGTTATATATAAATGACAATTAAGATGCACGGGTTAATTCAGACCTTTTTCTTTTTACCTTTTTTAGCTACTCAAAGATAAAAAGCTTTATAAAACATTTTAATTTCTCTAATATTTCATTTATTGTGTTTTCTCAATTGAAAATGAAAGTTTAAAAAAAGTATATGATAATTGGAAGAACACAATAAATATTAAAATATATTTTTAAGATTATATTTTCAATTAGAAAACACAATAAATGAAAAGTATGAGAAATCAAAATGTGGACAAGAGGGACTACATTAATAAGGAGTATTAACTTTAATGGGAATACCCACTCACCAAAGATCAAAACGTGATTGTGATGGTGGTGAGTACAGTAGCCCTCATGAGTTCTTTATCTTAGAAAAATTGTTCACATTGTAAATTGGGTTAATCATACTCAGGATTTTTTCTTTTTACTGCAAAAATTTTACAAAAGTTGTTATTTACTAGTATAACTTAAGATTAAGATTCCATTCAAAAACAAAAAAAAAAAAGAAAAAAAGAAAAAGAAACACTTACGATTAAGATACATATAGTCAAGCCACCCTCCCCTTGTCAGATAAGAATGAACCCCATGACTCTTCAAGGTTTTTGTCCCGTCATTCTCGTCATCGGAACACCTATGAGCATACTTGTATATTTAACTTAAAATTTTCAGCTGACGATGCCGGTAGCAACGTTTGTATAATTCACATGTGTAAACTCACATCGTTAACGTAAAATAATACTACTTCCGTCCGTTCCAGAAAAGTAATCCATATTGAGTTTATAAATTTTTATTGAAAACAGTACAAAACTCAAAACTTAATGTGAACTATTTTTTTTGGGACGAAGAGAATAATATTATCAAAATTTCATGTTATAGCGCTACTTCTGGTTATTGTAAAAGAAAAAAGTTATCGCTTATTGGTCCATGAAGCATTCATAGTTTCAAACCCCACCATATTGAGTATTGTTTTTTTTTATTTTTATTTTTTAATTACGAGGTTCTGACTTTGTGTGAGTCATTTTTACCCAAATATGTGGATCAGTAGTTTTACCAAATGGAAACTTTCGATAATGAAAGCAATTTATACATAACTAACTTGATTTTGACGTTTCAAAAAGTTTAACACAAGATAAAAATTATAGTATTTGTTCCAGTATTTATTTCCTTTAAAAAAGGTTTAAGTAAAAAGGGAGGGGGGGGTCCTGAAAAGTAATTGTGCTTGGGATGTGCCGTAATTAGTGACATGTTTAACTAATCTTTAACTTCTTAATCATAATTTAATTAGAAACCCCATGAGCAAGTAGTGCTACTTAACTAGTAATAATTTAATACTTGGCTCCCTCTTAACAACTCTTTAGCGCCATCATTGACTTTGCAACAACACGTGGCTTTCATTTTTTTACTTGCTTGGATTTAATGCCCGAAATAGTTATCCTAAAATTTTGAAGCACACATTTAATTCGTTTTGCTTTTGGCACGTTACATATAGAGAAAAACTTACAAAAAAATTTACAATAAATGATATGTCATGGGTCTAAATTATGGTATAACCATAAATGCTTAAATCCCAAATGAAATATATTAAAAATTAATGAGTATAACATTCCTCATTACTTTATCTTGTAATTTTTTCCCTATGCGTATCATTACTTTAAATTTTAATAATCTTGACGAGATCAACGGTATCCATAACAGCCTTGTTTGGGAAATCAAGGAGCTAATGAATAATGAAACTTACTTATAATAGAGAGATTAAGATTATCCGGCATCATTAGTTATAACATTATTCCGAGAAAGTGTCAAGATATAACCGAAACACAATATCCTCACAATTTCTTACCAACGCAATATTTAGATTTAGGATTTTAGACATTTGTCTCATTTTTTTATTAAGGAAAAAATTAATTAATTATATTATATTTTAATTTACCAAATAGATTCGATTCTCATGAAGGAGTGATAGGGTAGTATAGTGTAGGGGAGACAGAAAAATAGATTAAGCATTAACTGGATAATCAAAATCTTTTGGACCATGAAATACTTCACTTAAGCCCAAAAGAAAGAGATGGGTCAAACCTGAAACCCCTATTGGGTTATAGGATTTCCAAAGATAAATTTGTCATTTGTGTATACATGCTAGTCTGCTCAACAGCTGTGAGATTATAAATTTTAGTTTGAGCCTCAACAAATCTTTTTATTAATACAATGGTGTATCTTCCAGGTTTATTTCTTTTTTAAAATGTTTCACGAGCACGAAAAGAACTAGCTAGAAGAAATACATTGTTCTTGAAGAATTTTTGGTTAATCGTTTTTCAACCTTCAAGAATGAAATAGTGTATTATTTGAGTCGCACACTAATGCTGATGTTATTGGAAAAACAAGATTCGTTCGTGAACAAACAATCTAACCTGTATATATAATTTAAGACTAACAACATGTTTTCTTTTTCCTAGAGAATTCTTGGTTCATTGTTTGTCGACCTTCAAGAATAAAAGTGCGTGATATTTGTGTCGACCCAATAGTAAATAATTAGTATTCCCTACGTCTCATAATTATTGTTCAGTTTGGGTTTTCATTTCTAGTTCAAATTGTACTTAAAATGAAATCTTAAACTGGACAATAATTTTGGGACGACAAAAGGAGTATAACTTGTAAGTTGTATGTATAATTCAAAACTGAATGGTTAATTAACGAGACTGAAAGGAACTCTAAGAAGTTAGATTACTAAATTACAACTATCCATTTGAATGCTACACCAACCGATGCTGATTTTGAACTCTAAGAACTTCTGCATTTTAGTTTTAATCCCAAATATTCCACCAATGCATTGTACCTTCTGTAAAAAGGATACCATAATTATAGATATCAGATTCATTAATTGAATTTCATGAAACTAAGAAATTGTCTTTATCAACTAGAAACTTCCCTAGCTTTCCTTTCTCTCATTTCCTACCTTTTCTCTCATTTCTTTTCTCTTATCTATCACATTGAGACCAATATCGCTATTTGTTAAATAAACTTTTTGTAAATGATTATACTGTATATGGTCTCCAATCAATGAAATTATCATTTCTTGAAGGTGATGGATATTACATAGGCCATTGTGGTAACCGACTTTAATCATGCATTCTGATCACCTTTAAGCATTGCACGTGGGAGGGGGCAGAGATAAAAAGTCTACCAAAATAATCAAGCCAAAGTTGATTCATAATTTTTTTTGTTTTTTGAAAAGGTGATTCATAATTTGATACACTTCATAAAACAGTTGTTCGGAGTGGAATTGCACAAGGGAAATATACTGCACCTATTGATGACCCCTCTTGATTTTGCGTTGTTAGGGCTTTAATTTAGTGTGTCAATATTATTTTCATGAGAAAAACTTATACAATTTTCAGACCGCATTTGTCTCGCTCAAAAAACTAGAAATAGCATATGTCGATAATGTTATACTTTACTTTTAAAATGTAAGTTTATTCGGCTATATCGTGTTATGATGTCGTGTCACGCCTCTTATCTCTTGGATAGAAAATTGAAAGGGTGCCTATAACATTCAACTGTGGTGCACTGAAAGCGCTTGCAATTTGTGGGTCTGAGTCCTCAGCTGTTGTACCTTTCAAATTTTCAAATTGAAGATATTGTTGTCTTGCAAAAAAGGAGAACTTGACATTCATGGTACATCAGTTCGACATATTTTACTGTTGTTTGAGGTTGATTTGACACAATTGAGATTTGGTATTGTTATAAATGGAACTTGACCTTCTGGTTCATTCACAAGTTTTTAAGTTTTAGCCATGACTGCATTCAATCATTTGGCCATTGTTAAGTTCAAGGAGGAAGTAATAGTGGAAGATCTCTTAAAAGGGTTGGAGAAGCTTGCATCAGAAATGGACATTGTCAAGTCCTTTGTATGGTAAGTTTGATGAAAACATAAGCTGTGTAATTTTTTTCTTTCATTTATGTAACATGTATTTTCATGGATTTAATATGTGAAGATCGAACCACGTTAAATTCAGTACGTTCTTCTGTGTATGCGAATTCATTGCCGCGTATTGATTGAGCTGTTTTCTGTTATTTTTTTGCAGGGGACAGGACATTGAAAGTGATGATATGCTTAGACAAGGATTTACTCATGCTTTCTTGATGACATTCAGCAGCAAAGAAGACTTTATAGCTTTTGCCACCCATCCAAACCATGTTGAGTACTCTTCTACATTCTCAACTGCAATTGAGAAGGCTGTGATTCTTGATTTCCCTGTTATCGCCGTCAAGGTTCCCACTTGATCGATGGACCAACAAGATGATATTTTGCCTATATTATCCAGAATGTATTAATATCACTAAGGTGTTCTTGCAGCACCAATGTTGTGTTGAGGTGGTCTAATGAGTTTGACTCTCTGCATTTCCTTATGTACTGCTGAATGCTGATTTGTGGAAAGTTGTCATTTCAGAGTTCCCTTGTATCTCAGAATAAGAAGATTTGCTTTTTTTCCAATGAATGAAACTATGAAATTATTATGCTAAATTTGTAGAATGTCCATTCAGATTGACTTTTTTGTGTTCCTACTAAACTAGCATTATATTCAAAAGAATGATAGGTCCCTTGTGACTACTTTGTCTGCCACTTTCATGCCTCTAAAAGGCAGCAATTTCTCATTCAAACACCTCTGATATGGTTCAAAATCACAACGGCTATAACAAATAAGACTAAGTATATGCATGATTCAACTAGAAAAGAATATCTGAATGATCATCAGTGTATAGATGTCCTGTCTTGTTTTTCCTGCCTAAGGAATCATACTACAGAAGCATATATTCTTGTGAAGAAAAGATAATAATAATAAAAACCAGGAAGAGGATAAATTTGATGCCAAAGTCAAAAAAGTTGGATTCTTTGTTCTGTTGTCACCTTTTTTCACCTTTTCTTCCACATTCTTCCACTTTACCAACAGTTCAAATTGCTTTCAGAAGTTTTACTTTCTCCATAGCAGAAGCTTGATCTCTAAGAACAAAAGGGAATGATGATTTTGAAGAAAGTTCATCTTGGTTTTGCGTTGTTTGTGTTACTTACAACCCTGCCAACATCCATATCTCAAAAAACGACTGATATTAGCTATTGCGGGAAAATAAGGATTCAAAATCAGTTCTTTTTCCAACAAAATTCAACAAAGTTAGCCCCTTTGAATCACATGCTTCTTTGCAAATCTCAGAAATTGTACTACAGAACAACTCTTGGTCTTTTCCAGGTTTCTTCAGTTGATTATGCGAGTAAACTGCTTACTGTTTCACACAGCTTTTGGTCATCAACTTCTCAGTTTATATCTCCTAGAGTTCTGTCAGCTGGATTTCCTCATCCTCCTCAACCTAACTCATTAGTCCTCCTGAACTGCTCAACCCGAAAAACTATCCCTCAATCCGTGTTTTTGAGTAACTGTACTGGATTTAATGGTTTTGATAGAGCTCCTAATCTTACAGAAGGGTTTTCAAAATGCTTAGTAATTGAGGATGTACAAAAGTTGGATTCAGATTTTCATCCCAGAGAATTGAACTGCACACACTACAGCAGGATTTACCGAAAGGCGGTCTCCTTGGCCACAGATGACAACAGAAACATGGGATATGAGTTGGGAACAAGAATATCTTTTGATATCCCTGACCATGTCCCTGACCCTTGTGCGGAATGCAAAAAGCCTGATGGAAATTGTGGAGCTGGATTGAGATGCATTTGCCATCCCATTCAATGCAGTAAGTGATGTCAATTCTTTTCCTTTTAGGCCTTTTTTGCTACTTTGTCCCTCAAATTATTCTTAGTAAAGAGACTTCCTTTTCTTGCCTGATTGCCTTTTTTTCTTGCCTTGTTTTGTGGTTGTTATGCAGAGGATAAGGTCATTTCGAATGGTGCAATCTTGAACCCTCTCAGCAATATGCTTTTATCTTTTCTTTGCTTTGCCACAGTGCTGCTCTCATTCAACAACTCTTGAGGTAGCACAATGGTATATAACACTGGAAATTGTGATGCTGATTCATTAAACTTTAGAATGACATCAGGTTTGCAACTTCTTACATGTTTCCTAGGACAGTAAAAGAAAACTCAGAAGGAGTGTAAAAAGACTTGAGAATTACTATTTAGTATTTTAGGACAGCTGCTCGAATTGTTGTTTTCTGTTCAGGAATTCATGTGTCCTTTCCTTTGTCTCCTTTGTTCAGAACTTTATTCCTTACTGCCTCTGTTTGTGCATGCATCTATGATCTTTCATCATTGACAGAGTTCCTACGTTCTAAATTTCTCCACTTCTATTCATCGACCCCATCGCGAAATATGAAGACAAAATCGATATCATAATGGCGGAGGACTCTAGAGTTCATTCCTCGGATTCCTCTACTGTTAGATAGTACTACTTCCTATCATGAATCATGTAATAGTAACCTGTGGAGAATCAAATTTAATTTGCATTAACTTTGATATTACGTTACCGAATTCAAGACAATCATCACTAGTTGGTCTTAATCTTCCTTCATTTTTTTTTTTTTTGAGAAAGTAATCCTCCTTCATGACTATGTACAGATTATGAAGCTGCTGTTGAGCAGAGGTCTTGCGGAATATGAACAACAGAGATGATGATTTCACCGCCTTGATCATCTTGAAAGCTCTGAGGTGGTTCTGCATCCAAAGGCATAAGTAGTAGTAGTAGTTCTGATCCTGATTCAACATCCATTTCTGAACATGTGTTGTTTCCTCCTCTTGAATCACCATCCTCATCATTTTGTCCATGAAAATACTGAAGAGAAAGAAAGGTTGTAAAACTGACTTTTGCCAGAATGGTTATGAGTAGGAAATAGACCATGGATATCATGGTGATTCTTAATTCTGTTTCTTTTTCCTCTGAAATCAATGAAATCCCATGTTGTGTACACAGATATAGATTTGCAGAGAAGTACAACTGAAATTTGTGGCAGTTTTTCTGTTTTTAGCCTATTTATAAAGCCAAAAGAAAAAAAGATCATTAGATTCGAACTCTCAACATTTGTATATTTATGGACACATAAGACGTTATGGCTGCAAATCTATAACTATATGTTAAATGTCAGCGGAGATTACTTCTGATTGTAATTCAGTTGAGTAGATTTATGGACCATGTAGATTGGGGCAAGGGTCTAAACACTCTTTTGATCCAATCTTCAAGGCTGCAACTTTCTTTTTCTTTAAAATTCAGTTAATGGTGGAGGAAAAGTAAATGGATGAACTTCTTGATCATCATAGCGTTTTTTTGATCATCTTACCAGATTGAACAAACTTCAAGGAAACAATTGTAGGCTAGCTGGGACGTTAGTTACTTCCCATTTAAGGCCTGCCGAAATGCTTATACTGGTAGTGTTTATACAAACCAAATGCGTAGTCAATTGGAAGAAACAAAGATTGTGGCGTGACGATCGTGTTTTATGTTCTCGTTTGAGAGGTTGAGAGTTTAAATCCCGGTATATTAAAATTTAGTTATAATAAGAAAAATTAGGAAAAAGGAGTAAGAGAAAAAAAAAAGAAAAAAAAAAAGGGAAAGGCCAAAGCCAGAATTTGGAGTGGTGGAAAAGAGAAGAATGTATGAGTAGCAATTGGAATTTAATGCAACTGGATACTAAATATAACAAAGTAAACTAACCTTATCTTCACGGCATGGGAATGGCTCGGTAGGTTCAGCACATTACACATACTTGAGAGGATCGTAGCCATTTTTTATGTACCATTCTATGAGGATGCCGTCTATTCAAAGACAAATGCAGTTTGTGACACATGGAGCTAACTAGAAAGCTAAGAAATTTTAGTAGTCTTTCTGTCCAAAAAAAAAAATATATAGTTTATTTTATTGTACTATAATAATATAATGATTTTTTTTTAATCTACAAATGGGAAGAAAAAAAATTGCTACCATTTTCTCTAGTTCCATATCTGGGATATCTGGGAGAAGTTGTTTGTATTACACTACAGGGAAAAGAAAATATAAAAACAGAATGTAAAATGAAATTGTCAAATCTGAAAACTTTCAAAAGAAAAATCATATTGGGCCTCTAGTTTACATTTTGTAGTAGTGGCCTATTTTTATTTCCAGGACCATTTTCCAAACTAAACGCTTCCCATAACAACAGCCCAACCTTATATTCAGTTTGGATACTCTTGTTGTGTGTGTATTTGCAAATGTAATTTTGTGTATTAAAATTTGGAAAGCAGATCAAACAAATGGGAAAGTTTTGAAAGACGCAATGAGTTGGTCTTGTAAGAAACTATTATTATATTAAGTAAAGGCCCTGTTTGCAGCCTGGGGGAGTTATTCAGTTGACAGCAAAAACTAAGATCTTTTTAGTTTCTATTAAAAACAAGGGAGAGCACTAGATCCATATTTGTGCTTGTCCTAAAAAACTCATATTAAATTCAGCCCATTCATATTAACTCTGGTTTCAGTTTTCAGGATCTTGACCGACCCACCATTGGACCTCATTGCGGTGGACTTGTCTGGGTGTGTTAGTGCGAAGATGGAAAGTGAGTTTCTGGATAGGTTTAACAAGTTCTCTCTCTCAACAATGGAGAACGAAGGGGTAGATATAGGGTTTGGGGACACGAAAAAGGGTAAGGATGAAGGGAATAAAAGTTTAGTGAGTAAAGTCTTTGAGGATAAGAAAGTCAACTTCTATGGTGTGAGAAACGCTATGGAAAAATCATGGGGTCACAGAGGCCTGGTGAGAGTGGAAAAGATCCAAATGAACACCTTCCAATTCATTTTCAACGATGCGGAGGAACGTGAATCGATTTTGCGCCAAAGACCCTAGTCTTTTGATGGTCAGTATCTGCTTCTTGAGAAGTGGAGTAGCGGGGTGGACTATGATGCTGATTCATTCAATTTTTCGCCGGTTTGGGTCCAGATCTGGCATGTTCCCTTAGATTGGATCTCGAAAGAAACAGAGAGGAAGCTTGGGTAGCTTCTGGACAAAGTTCGCGATGTACTGATACCAGATGTGGGAGGGAAGGAGTATCGCCACATCAAGGTCTTAGTGGATTTGGATTTAAGAAAGCAGCTATCAAGGGGAACAAGGTTAAGGCATGATGGGATCGAGGTAAGGTTGTTTTTAAGTATGAAAATTTAGTAACTTTTTGTAATTACTGTGGTAAGATTGGTCATTTAGAGAAAGTCTGTAAGCAGAGGGGTTTAAACATTAATAATGATTGTTTAAAGGAGGACCAATTTAGCCCATGGCTTAGGGCAGGTTACTGGAGGGAGGAGCATCAGGAAGGGACTAAGGAGAAGGAAAGGGGTAAGTAGAGGTAGGGAAGAAGCTAGGGATGGGTGATGGAGAACACAGAGGGGTGCCAGAAAGGGATTAGGTATGGGGGTTTCAAAATTGGGGAAAGAAGTGGGACGGGGAAGGTACCTGAGCAGGAGAATAAGGAGGAGGTGGATAGTACTGCTAGGAGGGGAGAGAGTGAAGATATAAGGGAAGGTGTAAAAATGAATTGGGTAGAGGCTGTTAAAAAAGGAGGATGGGATAAGTATCAATGTGATCAAGAAGAAACAGTTGGGGTGTCTAGAGCCACCATGAATACTCTGGAAAAAAGAACTACTCTAGTAGATTTTGTAGAGGTGGAACGTAGAGCAAGGGAGGCAGCATTAGCAGTGCCTTGGGAAATGAGGTTAGGGGATGATGTAGAAATGGTGAAAATAACAAGGGAAGAGGTGAGTGCAGATGAGAGTAACTAGGAGCTAGAGGAGGAAGGAGGACAGCAACGAAGGGTGTTGGGGGACATTACTAATGAGATGGACTACCTGAATCATAAGGATAATGGAAATGAAGTAGGGGGGAAGAAAGGTCAATGGAAAAAGAGGACCAGAAAGGGTCCAAGAAACAAGAGCAAAAGTATGAAAGGGAAAGAAGCAGCCATGGTTGAAATAACGAGGAAAAGGAGGAGAGGTGGAAGTACAGAGGAAGAAGACAAGCTGCAGGAAACACAAAAGAGAAGAAAGGAGAACTTGGTAATAGTCACATAGTCAGATGAGGTAAAACTTAGTGAGGAGAAGGAGCTAAGGAGAGCAATATGAAGGTGGGGGTAGCCAACCTCAATTGGCCCCAAAGTTTAAAATGACAGCCATAGTGTGGAACTGTAGGGGTATTGGTAGTGCTTCAACAGTTTCCCAATTGAAAGAGTCGAATTGGCGCTATAAACCTGATCTGGTGTTCTTGTGTGAGACGAAGCGTAAAGGGGGATATGTTAATACAGTTGGAAAAAATTTAGGGTTTGGAGATAGATGGTGTATGGTTAATCCACTTGGCCGTAGGGGGGGATGGTTCTGGGGTGGAGTCATGCTGTTGTAGTATTTAAAATTTGTGTTTCCAGCTTTAGTATAGAAGTAGAATTTGAAGCTAGTAATACAAATGGTAGAGTTTGGGGGATTTTTGTCTATGCAAGTACCGAAGCAACTGAAAGGTGCAACCAGTGGGAGACATTGATTAGTAAGAAGGATAGTTGGGGGGACAAGTGGTTCATGTCTGGAGAATTTAACGATATAAGACATGGTAGTGAGAAGAAAGGAGAAAGGGTTAGAAGTGAATCCAGTTTTAGTGGGTTTCGGGAGTTTATTTGTAAACTGAAGATGAGAGAAGTGGATTTTCAGGGGCATAATTGGACTTGGGCTAATAATAGGATAGAGGAAGGGTACATTGAGGAGAGATTAGATCAAATTTTTGGGTCGTCAAACTAGCTATTGGAAAACAGTAATGCTCTGGTTAACCATGTGGAAAGACATTCATCTGACCATTGCCTTTTGATGCTAGATACTGAGCCAAACTAGGAAAGGTGAAAACAGAGATTCTGTTTCAATAAAAGATGGGTTGGGAAGGAAGGGGTACTGAGGGTGGTACAGAATGTTTGGGGTGAAGAAGTAGAAGGTTCACCTATGCATAGACTAGCTATGAAGATCAAGAAGTGTAGAGTGGCCCTGTTATAGTGGAATAGAAATAATAGTACCAATGCTAGCAAGGATATTCTAAAGTTCACTAGCTCACGAGATTGGAGTAAATGGAAGGAGATGAAGGATAAGCTGGATAAGGCATATGAAGAGGAGGAAATTTCTTGGGCTCAGAAAAGCAGGAATCTATGGTTGAAGGAGGGGGATCGTAATTCCAAATATTTCCATGCATCTACTCTAAAAAGAAGAAAAGAGAATCGGATAGAAAAGTTGGAAAAATCGAATGGGACTTGGGTTGAATCAGAGGGGGAAATTGTAAGAGAAATTAAAGGGTATTATAAGGAGTTGTTTAAATCAGAAGACTCACTAGGTTGGGAACAGTTGCTGGAAGAGCTCCCTTGCACTATCACACTACAGATGAACATTGCGTTGATTCGTCCAGTAGAGGAAGGAAAGATCAAAAGTACCTTCTTTTCGATGCATCCATCTAAAGCTCCCGGAGTTGATGGTATGACTCCCTTATTTTTCCAGTCCTTTTGGAATGTTGTTAAGTATGATGTCTGTAGTGCAGTAAAAAACTTTTTCAGATCTTCTTGTTTGTTCAAATTCTTTAATCATACTTTAATTTTGTTTATTCCTAAAGTTGAAAACCCAACTAAAATCTCCCAATATGGGCCAATTAGCTTGTGCAATGTTATTTACAAGATAATTTCTAAGATTTTAGCTGATAGACTCAAGTCTTTGTTAGCAAACTGTATTAGTGAAAACCAGTCAGCATTTCTTGCTAGTAGGCAAATTCTTGATAATGCGACTATAGCACATGAGTATATTCACTGCCTAAACAACCTGCGTAAAAAAGAAAGAAGAGTATGTAGCTATAAAGCTTGATATGGCAAAAGCCTACGACAGGGTAGAATGGAGGTTTCTAGTCTTTGTGCTTATAAAAATTGGGATTTGACCTTCAATATGTGGGGTGGGTATCACGGTATTTTCAACCAGTATCCTTTTCTTTTAATATTAATGGGTAGGGCAAAGCTTACATTAAACCGACTAGGGGGATTAGACAAGGGGACCCACTGTCCCCTTACCTCTTTTTAAAATGTTCAGAGGCGTTTTCTCATTTCATCAAGATGGCGGTAGCTAGGAGTGAGTTGTGTGGTCTTAAAATTAGCAAACATGGGCCTAAAATAACCCATTTATTCTTCGCTGATGATGCCTTGTTATTCTGTAAGGCTGATGTAGGTCACATTCATAGTCTGAAAACAAATCCTTGACGATTATGGTAGATGTTCAGGACAAAGAGTCAATTGGGACAAATCATCTTTGTTTTTCAGTAAAAATGTGTCTCCTCCTAAAAAAATTTTGATCTGTGCAGAGCTTAATGGTATCTGTGTGTAATTGAAATCGAAATACCTAGGATTGCCGTTAGTGATTGGCATATCCAAAGTGGAAGTGTTCAGATATGTGGAGGAGGTTGTTGTCCAGAAGATGAAGAACTGGAAGAGTAAGTTGCTTTCGCCGGCAGGGAAGGAGGTTTTGCTAAAATCGGTGGTTCAAGCAATGCCAAATTACGCCATGTCCTGTTATAAGCTGATGGATGGGGTGTGTAATAGGATAGAGAGTAGTATGGCAGGTTTTTGGTGGGGTGATAGTGAAGGAAAGATAGGAAAATTCATTGGGATAGCTGGGGGGAATTAGCTATGGGAAAGGAACAGGGGGGGCTAGGGTTTAGAAGCCTCAAATCGGTTAATGAAGCTCTCCTGTCTAAACAGGTTTGGAAATTGCTTGCAGAACTTAACTCTTTGATGGCAAAGGTGATGAAAGAGAGATACTATCCCGACAGTTCTATTTTCCAAGTGAGACAGAAGGGTGGAGACTCATGGCTGTGGAAGGGTTGGTTAGGGGCTAATAAGGGCGTTCAGAAGGGGATCAGGTGGAAAATTGGGAACGAGGAGTCAGTGGATGTGTGGAGGGATCACTGCTTACCAGAGGGGTGTGTGGTAGGGTTGCAGAGAAGGGATAGGGAGGTGCAAAATCTAGCGAAAGTTACCCAGTTAATCGATTCTACTACCAACTAGTGGAAACTTGACCTCCTAGGTAAAATCCTAAATCCAAATGAAGCAGAGCTAGTTCTACAAATGCCAGTGAGTAAGTATGGGAATCCAGATCTTAGAATTAGGGGGAGGGGGAGGGGTGAGTCAAATGGTAAGTTCTCTGTCTCATCTGCTTTCAAGTACATTGAGAGGGATAAGAGGGATGACTTAGGGAGAGGGGAATCTAGTGGAAGAAGAGAAAAAGAATGACAAACTTGGTCCAAGACTTGGCAGTTGCAAGTAAAATTAAAGCTTAAACATTTCATCTGGAAAGTATTCAAAGGATGGGTGCCTGTCAGTGCTGCTTTGAAGAAGAAGGGGATGCCAGTGGATGAGACCTGTAAGGAATGTGGCATGGGTATTGAGAACGTAGAACATGTGCTGTTTAATTGTTGTTTTGCAAGAAGAGTGTGGGATGTGGCACCTGTGAAGTGGGATGGTCTACAGACTAGAACATGAAATTTTGTAGATTGGTGGACTAAATTGATGAGTATAGATCAAGGCAAAGAATTGCAGGCCAGAGTTGAAGTGACAATCTACATATTATGGAATCTGTGGAAAAACAAGAACAAGAGACTTTTTGAAGATGAGGAGTTGGAAGCAATGCAGGTGGTATACAGGGCAATGGGGGAGTGGGAAGAAGTCAACAGAGCACAACATGGTGCAGGGAGAAGGCTACAGATGGAAACTGCGGGACGATGACAGTTTACAATGGTCCTTACCGCAACCAGGAAGAACCAGGATAAATGTTACCTTTGAGATGAAAATTGGAGAGTGTACAGCAGGGATTGGGTTTACTCTGAGAGATGAGAAAGGTAATCTGATTAGAGCATAATCAACTTTTGTTCATCAGGTCCAATCGTCCTATGTTGCAGAACTGGAGGGGGTCAGAAGAGCAATTGAAGGTGCATATAATGTAGGACTTAGAGATGTTGAAGTACAATTAGACGACAAAATTATGGTGACTTGGTTACAGAGACGCATTGCGCCTGTTTTAGATGTTATAACCATAATTACAGACATCTTTTTGCTTAAATCTCTTTTTGGTAGCTGTAAATTTTTATTCATTAGGAAAAAAATAGAACTCTACTTGTCTCAGTCTAGCCAAATTAAGCATATCTAACAGATATTCACAGATTTGGGATAATAATGCCCCTGTGTGGTTAGATAAGCTGTTTAAGGCAGACTGTAATAGTTTTCTGTAATTACAATTCTTCTCTTTCTTTTATATGAAATGATTATCAACTTTGACCAGAAAAAAAAAAAACCAAAGGTGTTGTGCTAAAATGGTAAGAAACTACGGACTCCTCCATCCTTAAACATAGGTCCAACGTTCGAACTTCACTGTGGGTATGGAGTAATTTTAAATCTTTCGGCCAGCTCTCCTACCTTTCGAGGTGCTTATCATGAGCGAGGGGGAATTAGTCACTGTTGTCGACGGCAAACACCCTGCATATATATATATATATATATATATATATATATATATATAACTATAAACTAGCTCTTAAAAAAACTTAAGATATACATATAAATTATCTCTTTTTCCTTGAACATTCAAAATTCAAAATAAGAGTCATGTTTATCATATTGTTACTATATAACAAAACAATACTCTTATTTAAAGCTGGAGAAATAAAAATGAATTAACTACCATGCAATGTTTAGATTACGTAGATTGATGCGTAGCTTTGGTTCGTTTTTTGGTTCATTTTCAGAATTTTTAATTAATATCTGTCACATCACAGCATATCTTTTTACATTCTCAATGCATCTTTTTACATTTTTAATATATATATATATATATATATTCTTTTTATATTTTTAATTAAAAAAGAACTCACTCAAAAAACGATCCAAATATAGCCTTAAATTTCCATCTTTTACTAATTAATAACTAAAATCAAGCACGAATGGGTAGGGAAATCATGTTCTGAATAAATATATAGACGTTGCACTTACCATCATGACACGAACTTGTAAAATGGCATTTTGCCAGGAGCATCTTGCGACCGACGCCATCCTTGAAAGAAAACAGACAAGCAGAAAGAAGCTAAACTAAGGATCAAAACTCCCCTTTAATTTGTTCTCTAGTGAATTTATAGAGTAGTATTTGTTAGACCAATCATTTTAAATCGTGCGGTATTAATTTGCATATTCTAGTAATAGCGACTGGTATTGCGACAAAGATTTGTCCGAGCCTCCACTTAACCAAATTCATGGGTGAATGTTTTTTTTTTTTTTTTTCCTTTTTCCGGAGTAACAAATAGTACCATTTTACGCTGTATAATGGTTATATAGTTTCTCAATAAAGGTGATGATAAATTTGACCGTGCTTGATTTTATTCATTACCGGATTTATTGTTTAATTTATATGCAAATATTATACGCACATTAGTTCAAATGCATAATAATAAGCTTCATCATTGAAAATCTATATTGCCTTACTAACATGAAAGAAAGACGCATAAGATCTAAATTTTCAGAGGCTAAGTTGCGACATAACCGGAAAAATTAAGGATGATCCCAATGAAAAACCCTTATATGTGCAAGCGATTGCATAATATTTTGCTTTTTTTCGCCATTTCATTTTACAAGATCGTTTCAAGCTGCCGATCCTTCCTTTTTTTTTTTTTCCTAATTCCTTATTTATACATCCCATCTTACATTCTGTATAAAATTCTGATAATTAGTTGTAATGAACGGAAGATGGTCAAGTGACAGAATTAATGTGATGATTGGCTAAGGCAAAAAAGGATTCTAAATAAGAATTATAAAAGTAATGGCTTGGAAGTTGGAACGTAACAATATTATATGATCAACCATGATGTATTTGATTTGTTTTCATCCGAAGTCAATGTTCAACTTGGGGAGTTCAATTTGCAAGAAAGAAAAAAAAAACAAAAGAAGACCAAAGAACATACCAATTAGAAGATTGGCAGTAGCCAATACCACCAAGTCTTTTTTGTAGAATTTGGCCACTCTTCTAGCCTAAATTTTGAGGCCGGACCATGCCCTAGAAGTGCTTAGACCGACTATAAACTACGACATTCGTGAATGACGAACTAAGAAGAGAAGCCGTCTTCTTCTTTTCTTCTGGTTTCATATATTATATATCTGTTGTTCGAAATCACTGTCTGGACTAATTCGATATGTAAACCGTCTTCTCTTGTTGTATATCTTTGTTTTTTCAATTAATTGCGTGCAAGGATGTGGCACATGCCATCATCAATATCTGGAATTTAATAGACACACAACATTTGACCAGCTTACAGTTTGGAAGTCAAGCAAGTAAGTACACGTACAACCCATGTGTTATTTAGTAGTTCCAACTGAACTGATGTACCTATTGTTTTTTAAAAGAAATACTTTCCCACAATTACACCGTTTTTTGTCTTACTTGCTATTTTGTTTTTTTGGTTCGACCCTTCAAAAATGGCTTTACATTAATACCGATTTGTACTAACTCCACGAGCACAATCCCTAAGTACAATTAATTAGGACCAAAGGCGTAGTCGTTGACATTATGTCCTGTATTGGTAGTGTAGTAGTAGTAGTTTATTATGGTCAAGCTCTGATGAAAAAAATAGTAGAAAATGCTCATAGAATAACCAGAAGATAGAATGTAAAGTCCTAATTATGTCTCTTAAAAAACAGTTAAAATCATTAAGTTAGAGACCTATGAACAATGTCAATACATTAAAGTTTAGAGGCAATGTCACTTCTTGACATTACCTAATTGTGGGTCATTCAAGAATGAACAAATTAAAATGGTATCTCCATGATTGCCTATGAAGGGAGTGCTCATTTTTAGCTTCTAAAACATTAAAACTAGTTCGAATTTTCACTGTTCAAAGAGAGGGACACAAACCAACCAAACCCCATTGCAGCAGTCTTCAATTAACATCCAAAGAGATAAGCCATCTGCTTCTGCATTCATCTTTAAATCAATTCCATTGTTCCATTACAATCTGGTCCCATCTGCCTAATTCTTTTCAGCCCCTTGTTGTGTTAATGTCATGATTCTATTTGAAAACAATCTGATTAGATAATTGCATGTGATGATTTAGTATATATTAAAAGTTGAAGTTGGAATTGAGAAGCAACAGAGATTGAATACCCCAAAGGATGCCCAATAAATGCCCTCACACGCTGCAAACTGTATCATGGGTTTCAGAAGGTCAAATTAGATAATGAGTCATACTTTTTGTGTATTAATTAGTGAAATTTAACTTTGTGTATTTTAAGTTAATACATAGTACTTACAAATAGTGTTACACTCACCAAAGTTTAGATGTCTTCTTTCTTTCTTTTTTCCTTTTTTTCTTTTAATTGATCTTTCGAAATTAACGCTACGCTCTAACAAAAAGATAAACAACTCTGATAGATAGGTAAATGGCTATTGCGTCAAACTATACTAAACGTAATACTAAAAGTATCACAAAATGATATCGTTACGTTAATAAGATACTTTGATAGATTAAGAACAAGTTGTAACGGGAACAAGAGAAAAAGGGCCCAAGAAAGTGGTCCTAAATGTTGTAGTTGTCATGAAACATGACATCTCAACAATTGCCAGACGCTCAATGTATAGAGTAATGGAAGGAACAGAGGAGGAGGATTCACATTCTGGAAGAAGATGTGGTTTATGCCATCTCCTTTTTTCCTCAAAAAATGTCTTTAACAGTTTTTTACCTTCACAAAATTTTACGTAACACTGTAACCATATGATTGATTACCTTCGGGAATCAGGAGATTCTCTACTCTGAATTTTCAGAGAAAGACATGCTACCCAAAGCTCCAAAAGGATTCTGGTGGGCTGGTGTGCCTAATACCACCAAAGAGAAATAGAACTTACACCAATATGGTAGCAATTAAGAGAACTCAACTCTTAACTTCAGAAGTTAGATCCTAAATTAGATTCTACATTTCTTTCTTCTTTTGGTATCAATGAAATAGATAAAAGTTCTAAGGAACTTATAACGAACACAAACTGCAAACAAGAGATATCGTGTTACAGCCACGGTTGATTCCTGAGCTTTTGCATTGGTTTAAAACACAACAAAATTCCTAGAAAGCAAACAAATAAGATACTCATAAAATCTATGGAACTACTTCAGAACCTCAATGCCACATAGTAAATGTAACTATATCAGCAGAGAGAAGGCAGGTATGAAGAAGAAGAAGAAGATATTTGATCATCCCTTCTTTCTGGCCATAGTTAAGAGTTAGTTGGCCAGCCAATCCACTAGCTGGAATTATTTTTTCTGCTCTCCCAACCCCTCATACCAAAAAAAAAAAAAAAAATTCTTGTTCATTGCATTCAATAGAAGCAGAAATTGAAAAGAGGAAAATCACGAATCAGTGATGAATTGGATACATTGATTGATCTCATGACTATATCTAAAAAATTTACATCTTTTCAGAGCTCAAATTAAGCTTTTTGTAAAAACAGAAACAATTATTCTGCACTCTTTGATCAAAGTTATTGTAAGTATTTCTCACAAAGATCATCAAAATGAATGAAATCTGTCTCTCTCTCTCTACCTCTTCTTTTTTCATGATCAGTAACAAAGTAAAAGACCCCCAAAAAAAGCAGCAAAAGAGAAAGAAAAAAAAAAGAAGTAAGAAGAAGTAAAAATCATGAATACCACGTGTAATGGTCATCATCATCTACAGGCATAGATCAAAAATGAGAATTCAACTTTATCTTGGTCCTTCTGCATCAATTTCTCCTCCAACCACAATCTACTATCCATCCCACTTCTTGTTCTGAACATGAAAACAGCGTACCCAGAAACAGGATTGAAGAACCAATCATGAACATCCCACATAAGATCAACAAGCAATCCATCCAAGAAAATTGTCTGGTTCCCTCTGAAATTCCATTGCAGCCTCTTCACCCGAATCACCACTTTTTTATCAATGCAAACTGATAGAACAGGATGCTTTAGCCCTTCAGTTTCTCCACTACACCGAATTAGTATATCATGAGCTGTTCCTGTATCTGAAAACTGAGCCTTGGTTGAGTACAGAGTATTGCCAGAGAAGTGTTCCTGCCTTGAAATCAATGAGTATTTAGCGATTTTTGTACCCTTTTTCAGCTTATTCAAAGATGCTTCTTCAGCTAAATCACCGAGTAACAATCCCAATTCTGAATCAACAGTGATTAGGACATAGAACCCATCAATTGGTTCAGGCCCTGAATTGTACCTGGCTGAAGAAAGATCCCAAAAGATTTCAACTTTACAATCACTGAATTCACAAGATTTGCTGCCCCGTTTCTTCCTGAACAGCCTTGAAGTTGTATTGAGTTTAAAACTGCTGGAAGGATCATCCCCAAAATGTATGCTCAAGCCTTGAGTAACATTATTCTTGCACCAAGTAACTCTAATGACTATTTGCTTGTCATTGGAAAGAACAGATTTGTACAAACAAGTGACTGCATTCTGGGTTGAAGGAATCGAATTGGGAGTGATGCAGGAAGTATTTGCATAGCTAGCACAAGATGCATTATCTGCAACCTGAACAGAGTATTCGCTGAAACAAGCCGCAAAATCTCTCATTCCGATCAAATTAAGTTGGGATTTTGCAACCATGGACAAGAAGAAAAAAAAGTTTGGGTTTTTTTTTTTTTGAGAATTGGAGGTTTTACAGAAGAGGGAAGAGATTGAAATTGTGTACAAAAAGAGGACAAAGGGGAAAGGGGTTTTTCAATATTCTAAAGAGGAAACTCAGAGGAAGTTAAGAAGGGAGGAAACCAAAATTAATGAAAATCCAGTTTTTTGCTGACAGCACCCCATATTATTGCATTAAATATGATTCTGTGTCACCTTAAAATTTGCATCTCAGTACAAAAAATGAAGAAGAAAGAATATATACACAACATTTTATAGTGAATTATTATCATTATTAAATGGAATGGAAGGAGACTCTCGGCTTCTGTTTTGTCCATTTCTTTTCCTTAATTTCATATAATTTAGTAAGCCAGTCTTTTTTACTTGGGATCAACAGTTGAAATCATTAGTTGGAGATCCAAGTTTTTTTTTTCCGACCCCAACTTTCCAACTCCTCCGTCCTGAAATTATAGTACAATTTGAATTTTTAATTTTAATACAAATTAAAATAAAAATAAAATTATAAATTAGACAATAATTTTGAAACAAAGAGAGTATTTTATTATTATTAAAAACAATGTCACATTTTATTTATTTAAAGATACAGTGTATTCGTTGTAAAGTTTAATCATACATTCTTTTATAATAATATTTAAAATAATAATCGCTCATTCCAATAAGTATACATTACACTTCTAATGAAAAAGACTATGGCACAATAAAATTGAACCCAAAATCCCGTTGGAAGGATACACAATTTTTTGAATAATCTTCTTTGAGAGTCAGAAATTTGGCTCGGTCAATTTTTTTTTCTTGTTAGAAAAGAAAATATTTGTAACTCTTTTCTAAAAAATTATGTATTATTTGTGGAATGGATAGATATAAAGGGGCCTACAAATTTAAAACCGGTCTGTCGACCCACCCACTCCAGCTCCCGGCTCCTCCTATGATTAAACGCAAAGGAATAACGTGAGTTTCTGTGCACTTCCCAAAAGACTGGTAAGCAACTTTTTTTTTCAATAAAAACTATCAGCAATAAAATACTAAAACTTAATAGTTGTAATGTTCATTAGGTTTAAATGAATGAGGGATTTAATAATGTAATGAGTGATTTCTTTCAACTTTCCTCATGGTCTAGAATTGAACCTGTGAATACTGTTATAATGCTATTTGTAAAATCAGAGGCTTACCCATCATATTGATGGTTTATTATCTCTTTACATGAAATAAATGTTCAGGAGGATTACAATGGGTCGGTGATTCAACATCGGGTGGTTTATCATGGTTTGAACATAATGTTATAAGAATAACGTGCCACATAGTGTTTTTATTTTAAATCGCAAGGTTTGAATCTCTCTTTATTGTAACAAAAATAATAATAATAATAATAAATGTCATTTTCTTGAAGCTAAAAACTACTCCTAAGAGGAGTACATATCATGATGATGAAATCAAGAATAATGCTTTACGAATCGAGAAAAAGTGCAACCATGCAGCTTTTTTTTAAAATGACAATATATGATGATGAAATCTGAAAAGAGAAGAGTAACGTGGATAAGGCTTCAAAAGTGGCATGGATGGATGAGTTCACAAAAGTCGGAAAAACCAGGCAAAACGAAAAGCTCTTAAAAAACCCTCCGAAAAAAGCTGGAAAAGAATGATTTTCAAAAAGGGGGGAAAAAAAAAAGGAATAAGAAAACACCTAACCCAATTGATATGTAAAACCTGGAGTGTAGATTGCATGTGTTGTTCGAATCAAACTTTGGGAAAGATGTTTGGTTCTAATGATTTCTTTCCACAAAGGGGTTTATGGGTCGGTTTTTTATTTTCTGTGTTCTGATTTAATTCTTACAATGACAATAACAAACGTTTATCTCACTGCATATAATATAAGATCGACTTATAACTCAATTTTTAACTCAGTAAAAAGTGTAAAAGTACGTCTTCCATATGTCAAAGTTGCAATCAAAACACGAAGCAAAACAAGATAGCATTGCCAAAACATTTTTTCCATATATATTTGAAAGGGGAATGTATGTGGAAATTGCATGTATTTAAATCAGAGAGAATCCCAAGTGGGGGGATTCAAGGGGGAAGCATTATTCCTTGTCATGGGGTTCAGATCAACAGGCATTGTGTTTTTTAGGGGGTATGGACCCCCAAAATGGTCACTCCTCATAATGGCTTGAAGCCTTTGCCTGAACTAGTAGTATTTGTATTGGCATAATAACTAATTGATTTCAAAATGGAACCAAATCGGTTACGAAAAGAAGTACAATAATAATATGGTCGACGATCTAATATATTTGCATGATTTCAAGATCTGGCTAGCTGCCATGAATGTTGTGTTGGTGGGGGAGTAGTTTGGGTCCCAAAGAATGTTTATCCTTCATTTCTAGTACTTATATTTTAGGTTCATGCTCAATTGATTGTATCTTACAATGTTATGATCTTTCTAAGTAGTAAAGGCATTTAGGACCCTCATGAGTACCCTGTTACTATCCTGATTTCACTAATTGTATTCCATTCGTTCCGAAATTATTTTTTAGTTTGATTTTTTTTATTTTTAATTTAATTTGTATTAAAACTGAAAATCTAAATTGGACAATAAATTTGGGACGGAAAGAGTACCAATTACTATGCAGTAGTCCCCTCTTTTTTAAAAAAAATCAATTTCTTTTGGGCAAAATTATGAGTAAAATGTGAGTATGTGACATGGAATAACTCCCGATTATGCGAAGAATCGGTATGGTGAATTTTTTAGGAGTGCATGTTCCGAATGTGTATGACCTTCATTTTCCTGGTAGTATAGTTACCCATGACATTTTCTAAATATGAAAATCGAGCTGTAACAGCAAGCACTTTATTCAAAAAAAAAAAAGAACAATTTGTTTGTTGAGCCAACTCATAATTGTTCAACTAGAACATGATCCTAAACTTACTCCAGTATTAATTAGACTAAACTACAGATTAAATATTGTTGGTGAACCATATTTTAACTATGCATCATTTGTTTGATTAGGAGTCACAATTGCTGTCAATTTTTTTGCCTGTTTGTGGCTGCATTAGATTTTAGACGTAACAATAAAGTTACAATGCAGGTCAAAAATATTTGGTAAACGGGACCAACAAAGACTAAAATTGAAACAATTTTAAGCATTAATTTTTTTTTTTTCCTCGCCTGCCCAAAAAGTTATTTTGATTGGAAAGAATATATATTAAGTCCTAATCAACATGATTTCTGGAGATTCAGATTTTATAAAGTTGCACACACACAATGAAAAGTCTTGGTAGGGGATGAGTTCTTACGTTTGTAGACCCGAAAAAAAGTAAGAAAAAAAAAATTAATTAAAGAACTAAGACAAAGACCAGATAAATGCAAGACTTATACTTACGCATAAAACGACCACTTCAATTTAGATTAAGCAATTGTCGAACTAAAATGATACAATGAACACGACTTTTATTTTGAAACTTGATAATATTTTTTTAGTTTATTCAATTGTTTTCCTTCCGCCTTGCTAATGACACTCGAACCCTCACTGATAACTATTAATTAGTTTCATTTTCAAGAATCGATCGCCTAACCACCCTTGATTAGAAAAAAAAACTTTGATTAATTATTTTATTTTATTTATTCCCCCAAAAAAAAATACAGTAAAAATAATAATAAAAATATTAAAAAAGCTTGCTACTTTTGACGGAAATAAATCCAGAGATATTGCTCAAAAGTCTTCAGTCTTGGTGCAAAATTAACTAATTCATAGTCATATTCTTTGTTCGTTTTTTTTTCCCCTTCATTGTCATAGTCACCTTTGTATTAGTTGTTAAAAACGCACTTAATAGGTGGAGGAGATGTAACTGAAAATGTACGCTGAAAATTCTAGATCCATTTGTTTGGGAAATTTTTGGGATTTAATTAAAGTACTTGCATTTGGTTAGTTAGGCTTAATTAGTTTTAAAAAATGAATCACACGTAGGTTCAAAAAGTCAGCCGCCAATAACCTAAAACCCACAGAACGTGAATGTAAGAATTGGAGCATTTGAGAAAGAAGACAAATAAGGGAATCAATCACATAAATCCCACATCGATCCAAGAAAACTTCGTAAATCTCCATTTCGACTTAGTACTGTATTAAGAAATCCGGCCTTGCGCAATATGAAATTCTCTAGCCAGTAGTTTTAAAACCAGATTGCCTACTTAATATGGTTGATAACAGACATTTTATGATATATGGGATTAAGAAAATTGTTTGGAAGTTATTCCTTCGTACACCTAGATGTATAATATTTTTTTTTGCGAGCGATAATTATGTTGTATTATGTGTTCGTTAAATAAAATGGGCAGTCCGATTTTTCTTAATTATTATTGTTGTTCCTTGTATCTACTCCCTCCGTCCCATAATTATTGTCCAGTTTGATTTTCAGTTCTACTTCAAATTGTACTAAAAATGAAATCTCAAACTAGATAATAATTTTGAGATAGAGGGAGTATCTTTTTATAGATACAGATATATATGAAAGATGATCATTGAAGATTTCATTGTTGATATGTAGGTCTTTGTAGACAGCATATGTATATGGTTAAACAAACATGGATATATACGATATCAACTTTAATTCATAATAACCTCTATTTTTAAACAGACTGTTAATATCTTTCTATTTATTCTTTTGTCAACTTTACTCGAATTCGTAATCTAATAATAAAATTAACGTATGTAATTGATGTGGATGGCTTTGTAAAGCATGCCACTATGCAATCTATGTCGAAAGACTGACTTCGCTTTTGATCGGACACTTGTCTAGATTTATCCACTTTCAACAAATCTTCACTTTGAATACGTGTTAGGATGGGGATTTGATTGTTTCAGTTCAGTCAAGGATCAATCTAGTTCTTCTTGATCTTTTCTTTTCTATAAAACCCATCATTTTTGGAAAGTGGAGAAAATGGAGTGGAAGATTACTGGGCACATCCACCATCTCTCTGACCCTAACTAGAATTATTGACCAATATCAGCGACAAAAGGAAAGCAAAAAAAAAAAAAAAGAAAAAGGCGGAATTCATTCAAATTATTTCAAGGCCATGAAAAAATAAATTTTTTTTTTTTGTTTATGCTAGAATATTGACAGTACATGATGAATATCTCCCGATCTTATAAGCATATATAAAAAAATTACACGATGAAATCAAACTAAAAATTCGATAGCTTTGTCATTGCACCGGAGACTGAACAGAAATCGAGGGTATCCAATCTGTGACTTGGCTGGAAGTTACAACATGACATTTTTCTTTCTCAGGTCAACGGGT